AATTCATAATAAAATTAATTTTTATTATTTTAATATAAATTCATAATAAAAAATATATTTAATACACTTTTAATAAGTTACAAAGGTTAAACAATTTCAAAGATTTTTTATAACTGAAAAAGAATGAGCAATAAATAAAAATAATTATTAAAAAAAAAGGGGTAAAAATAAGAATATAGGGAGTGTAGATGTAACCAGAAAATTAGAAACGATTGTTCGGCTTCTCTCTCCCGCTGTCCGACTCTTTTCTTCCCCTTCTCTCACCTTCCATCCTAGGTATATACCCACACATATACGTATATTTCATACATTCCGAGATGATTGATAGTGTCAGTCACTTAATAATGGGCATCCAAAATGCAACTACCCGTTGACCCATAATCATGAATCAATCTTACTCTCTTGCTCAGTCTGTCCATGTTCACTGAGTTCTCTGGCATTTTTGCTGACCCAAAAGGCCCTTTTGTGATAAAGTTTAAATTTTCAGGAGAGCCCGTGAATTGAAGTACGTAAGTAGAGAAATGGATTATGGTAGTTTTCAATCCGAAGTTAAAAAGCCTGCGAATTTTCGATTGTGCAATGTGTCCAGGTATGGAGGTTTTCATTGGTTTTGAGTTTTTATGTTAATGATTGTTTACATTGATGTTGTTTTTGATCTTTTTCCTGGTCAGTTACACGATTGAGTTACTGGAAATTGTTGCTGATCAGCCTTCAATGCATGTGTTGTTTATCCCTGGAAATCCAGGTTTGTTCTTCGTGTGTTTTGTGTTTACTATCAATTCAGCTTTGAATTAGTTTGATTCTCCGAATTAGGATCTTGGGTGGGTTGTTTTTTGTGTAGGCGTTGTTACATTTTACACGGACTTTGTGGAATCACTGTTTGAGCTGCTTGGAGGAACTGCGTCTATAACAGGCAAAAAATGAGAACTTTTTTCTTTAACCTTTCTGGGTTCAATGATCACTATTCAGCATTCATCCTTTTGTTGTTTAATTTTATTTTTTAAAAAAATTGGAGCCATACTTATTACCAAATGTTGCACTTCTTGCTTTTAACAGCTATTGGACACATTGGTCAAACCAAAAAGGTACATTTGTTATTCTGTATATTGGGTGTTACAAAATTGCAGTGATTCATGTTTGGTCGTATTAGTGCTCAGCTTGGCGTTGGGGATCATGTGAGGAAAAAAAATATATATATATTTCCTTGGTACATCAGTAGTGTTAGCTACTTGGCATTGCAGGATTTTGAACCCTTGAACTTAACCCCAAATCAAGGCTTTTAAGTTAATGGGTATCAACTCGGCCAAGCTCTTGTTAGTATATTGGTAACTTAATAATGTTTAGATTGTTATCATTGTTCTAGACCAAAACTCAGACATACTTTATTCTAATTTAAAAGAATGGCTTTAGATTGGGATTGTTGTTCCAAGTTTTATTTGAATTAGTTTATAACCTATGTTGTACTTGTCATGTGGAATTATTTGAGTTACAACTTACAAATTGAGTACAAAATTTAATAAATGTAATTCTGCTTTGATTATGAACTCATGATTTGGTAGCGTTGAATCCTTCTTTCATGATGGGGATGAGTATTCTGTAGAAGCTACCAAATGTTTTTCCATTGTTTCTTTGTCACTGTCATTAGGGTT